TTTTTTTTTTCTCTCACTCATTCTCCCCAATCTTCTTCTCTCTTTTTTTTCTAACCCCTTTTCTCTCATCTTTCTTTCACTGTTTTTTTCGTGCTCCGATTCACAAGAAAAATCAGAAACTCAGAAATCCATAAAAGGTTACCTTTTTTTTCGTTGTTTTTCTTTTAATTTTGAGTTTTGAAATTATGTAATTCTTTCAAACCGAAATGGTCTTCTTTATAGGATTTTTTTTTTTTAAATTAAAGTTGAATCTGCAAAATAAAAGAGACGTTTGGGTGGAAATGTATCCGTTGGGAGGAAATAGATCCGTTGGGAGCTCCCCTCCAATTTTTTATTACCCAATTTTCAGACCCCATTTTTTATGGCAGAGATGGGGAGGTCGTAAAATGGGGCCTGTTTTGATGGCTCGGTTGGAACAAAAAAATCCAGACTTTAGCCATCAAAATGGCAGTTATTGCTTTTGGGGCCTCATTTAGGGCCTCGGTTGGAGTTGCCCTTACACCTTTTGAATTAGAAAATTCAAAAATTACAGATTCACCTCGATTCATAAGCCCCAAAATAAAGTTTATAAAATTTTCAATTCAGTCCTTAATATTTTAAAAAAAACCCTCTTCTCCAAAATTAACCAAAACCATCACCGCAATTATCTTCATCTTCTCATTCCCAGCGAGCCAATGAGATTGAGAAGGAGAATCCCTAAAATCCAGTTTCACATTTGAATTCGCAAGAGCATATATGCATTGTGATCTAGGGTTCGCGTCCAATGCCATATTATTAGGCGGAGGTGAGTGCCAGCGAAGTGGACGAGGACGGTGCTGATGGAGGGTCGTCTTTGGCTGGTGTCGGTGTGTGTATTGTGTGAGATTTTGATGGAGGAGAGAGAGGCTTGGATTCCTTTTTGGGTCTGCATCTATTTAGAATCAGATTCTTCACGTCAAAATGAGAGATGGCGGAGCAGAGATGAAGATAGTGGCGTAGATGGATGATAGCAGAGATGGAGCATGGCGGAGGATAGATGAAGATGGCAAGTCGGCAGAGATGAAGATGCAGATTGCAGAAGAAGAACGGGGAAGACAGACTTCTCTCAACTATGTTTTTTTTTTTTTTTTGTGGAGAAAAGAGGCCACGTGGAACTTAATGAGTTCTTTTAATTTAATTTTATTTTTCTTTATTATTGCTTTAATTATATTTTGTTATTTATTTGTACATTTAATTAGGGGTAGTTTGGTCATTTGGTCCATAGATTTATCTAGTTCAAAGGGCGGTGGGCTAAATAAATGAAACACAGGGAGGTAATTGTTAATTTTTTAACACGAGAACTTACCCGGCAATTAGACATTACACAATGGTTGTGTGCAATTAAGTTGCACAAAGAGTGTTGTTGTCTTAACATGTAAATTGTAAAAAAATATGAGGGTATATTAGATATTTAATCATTCCTATTAACCTTTAATAACTAAACTGACGGCTGCTATACTGTGCAAACCACAGGGAGTTTAAATGCCTAAATTGATACGATAGGGGGTAAAGTGCAACAAATTGAAACCACAGGGGGAAAAGTGCTATTTACCCATTTTAAAATGCCAACTAATCCCCACCCCCACCCACCTTCTCCTTCACCAAAACCCTCGGCCCCCACAAACACAGATTCACGCACTAAACAGTGTAACCAAAACCAGATCTCCATTAATTCCAACAACCCAACTTCCAAATACACTTTTTATCCCCATATCTTTTAGTGCTCGCTGTCTCACCGTCCCACTCAAATCCCGTGACTCCATTTCCAAATCACTACCTTCCAAATTCACTCTAATATTCTTTCTTGCTATTTTCTTGATTTTTGATTGTGACAGTTTCTTTTACCCAATTTTTTTCATTTTATTTAATAGGAATAAATTCTTTGAATTATGAAAATGATGCAGCACAGAAAACCTATAAAACCCACCGCACCGCCCGCATTGCCCAACCCCACAAACAATCCCAAACAATTCCACCATTTCAAATTCATCTTCATTTCAATGGCCGCTCTCCTCTCCTTCGGCCTCGTCTCCTTCCTCCTCTTCTTCACCATCTCCTCCGCCTCCCGCCACCGCCACGTCAAGCCCACCGCCGACACCCCACCTCCCGGCGGCGATCGCTCCACCATCATCCACGAGGCCTGCAAGGCCTCACGTGACCCTCCCACGTGCGAATCCTCTCTGTCGAAGTCGAACCGGGTTCCCCCGGACGCCGCCGTTGCTCAGGTGATTCTATCTGCCTTGTGGGTTTCGTCACAGAATCTGGATACGGGTCGGGTCATGGTCCGTAAAATCCTGGACGGGTCGGCAGACAACCCGACCCGCTCCGGCGCCGCGAACAATTGCCTGGAGCTGCTGCGTTACTCGGAGTACAGGACGAATTTGTCGGTGGGGGACGCGCTGCCACGTGGCCGAATCAAGGACGCGCGTGCATGGACGAGCGCGGCCCTGGTGTACCAGTACGACTGCTGGTCGGCGCTCAAGTACGTGAACGACACCTCCCTCGTCGCCGAAACGATGTCGTTCTTCCACTCCTCCCTCATCCCTTCCACCAGCGACGCTCTCGGCATGATGGTGAACTACGACCTCTTCGGCGACCAAACCGGGTCGTGGGGCCCGCCGAAGACTGAGCGTGACGGGTTCTGGGAATCCGCCGGGTCGGACTCCCCCGGGTCCGGGTCGGCCGGCGGCGTGCCGCCGGGTCTTAATGCGGACGTGACCGTCTGCAATGCAGGCGGCGGCGATGGTGGTGGGTGCGATTACGAGACGGTGCAGCAGGCTGTGGATGCCGCCCCGGATAATAATTCCGGGTCGGGTCAACGGTTCGTGATATGGATCAAGGCTGGGGTTTATGAGGAAACGGTTCGGGTACCGTTGGAGAAGAAGAATGTTGTGTTCTTGGGGGAGGGCATGGGCAAAACGGTAATTACAGGGTCCATGAATGTGGGGCAGCAGGGTGTGTCCACCTACAACTCCGCCACCGTCGGTAAGTCGACTGCTTTCTCTGTTACTTGTGATCTAGTTTACTTGTTAAGATTGAAATTTCATCTCCAATTTTGAGTTTTTGTATAGCTTTCGATACGAAAACCGCATAATATATGACACATAGTTTGACATTAAAGAGAAGTTTTGCGATAAAGCATGATTAATGGAAGTGTAGATTCATCTAGTATCGTATATGTATGTATAATATTTAATGGTATCGACAAATTTCTTTAAAAATCTCGACTCAAATATTGCACTATTTGAAGAGCTAATTCGTGTCTACTCTGTTCTGATTTGCTGATGGAATTCATGAACAAATTAAGTTTCGAATATACAAAAGTTCTATTCTTCACTGTCACATTTGATTGTATAAATAGATCATCTAATATTTGAATCTCTAATTGAAAAAAAATAGGTGTTGTTGGAGATGGATTTATGGCAAGTGGACTCACAATCAAGAACACAGCGGGCCCCGATGCTCACCAAGCGGTCGCGTTCCGATCAGACAGCGACCTCTCCGTAATAGAAAACTGCGAATTCATTGGAAATCAAGATACCCTTTACGCCCACAGCTTACGTCAATATTACAAGTCGTGCCATATCCAAGGCAACGTCGACTTCATATTCGGAAACTCAGCTTCCTTCTTCCAAGACTGCCTCATACTCATCGCGCCGCGTCAGCTAAAACCAGAAAAGGGAGAGAACAATGCGGTCACCGCCCAAGGTAGAATCGACCCGTCGCAGTCGACCGGATTCGTATTTCAAAACTGTGTAATAAATGGGACTAATTCTTACATGGCGTTGTATTATAGTAAGCCTAGTGTGCACAAGAATTTTCTAGGCAGACCTTGGAAGGAATATTCGAGGACGGTTTTTATTGGGTGTTTTTTGGAGGTTATTGTGAAGGCGGAGGGGTGGATGCCTTGGAGTGGCGATTTTGCGTTGAGTACACTTTATTACGGTGAATTTGAAAATGTGGGGCCCGGTTCGAATACGAGTAATCGAGTGAGCTGGAGTAGCCAGATTCCGGTGGAACGTGCTTATTCGTATTCGGTTCAGAATTTCATACAAGGTGATCAGTGGATCCCTACTTCTTCTTGATTTTTTTGAAGGTCTTGTGCATATATATATATATATATATATATATATATATATATATTAATGTAATCACAAAATAATTAATAGTTTAGTTGTGGATTAACATTTAGTAATGAGTTTCTTGTGATGGAGGTGGTCCCAGGAATATAATTATGCAGCTCACGTGTAACTAAGTTCACAATCACATGCATTTGTTAATAATACATGTTCTAAATCTAATGATTATAAATGGCTTTATCAATTTTATGTGGATTGATTTATTTTATTTTGATTTACATGATAATTGTCCCAAGTAATGGTGGAAATTGGAACGGAAGTTATGTTTTACGCCGATCCAGGTCCCATTTTTTTTTTTTTTTGGAATTTGGAAAACTATATTTCATTCCCAAAATCCGATTACGATTTTTCCGGGTTTTTTTTTATTGGAATTGGAACATATATAAGATTCTAATTTCCGGTCATATTTAAATTTTCGAAAAATATGATTTTCCAGAAATACACTTATAATAGGGGTGGTAAACGAGCCGAGCCGACTCGTGAGTTCGATGAGCCGGCTCGAAAAAAGCTCGAACTCGGACTCGAGTTTTTTCAAGGTCGAGCTTTACGACGAGCAGAACTCGAGCCAGTTTTTAGTTGTTCATGACCTCACGAGCCGGATCGCGGACCTTATTATTATTATTTTTTTATATATTATTTTTTATTTAAATAATATTTAATAATATAAAAATATTGTCAAAATAAAATATAATTATTAAAAAGTATATATAATTACAATTTAATGTTTATTATGTAGTTTTTTAAATAATTTTTAATAATAATAAAATAATAATTAAAAAAATATTAAAAAAAAAAACAAAACAAAACAAAATGAGATTGGGCTCGAGCTCGATAAATGACACGAGCTCGAGCTCGACAAAATTGACTCGAGCTCGAGCCTGCAAAAAAAAAAAGCGATCTCGGCTCATTCGTACCCCTAACTTATAGTATCAGTATTGTTAAAGATTCTATATTTGAGGTGAAAAATTGGAATTTTTCAAATTCCGTTCGATTCTTTTTTGATTTTGGAGCGAGTTTTAATAGTAACTTTTTCGTAAGTGCTTATTCGGTTCTGATCCACCTAATTCCCACTCCTCGTCCTACGGTTAATATGGAAAGTAAGGTTGGCCGGGGGGGGGGGGGGGGCGCGAATAAGAACTCATATGAAGGGCATCAAACGACGGAACAAAAATATCAACATCGTCTCTCTTGGAGATTAATGAGAAGACCTATCTTATGAAAACTTGTTCTATTGTTGTTAAAATTCCGTCGTCTTTAGAATATTTCGCAACACATTGTAGTAAAATGTTGTGTTGATAGGATGTTATATACTATGTTACAACAAATGAAGTACATCGGTAGATCTCTGCTGATTCCTAACACACAAACAAAGACGCAACACATTAGTGTGAGTAGATCAACAGTTAAAAAAAAAAAAAAAACCAATATATCTTTCACCCGCTGTAACATAAAAATAACCGTCCCCAAATGTCGCAATCTCCTCTTCTCTAACTTTTGTAGTAAAATACTAATATCTTGAAAAAGAAAATCATCCATCGGTAGGACTAGCCGATAAAACTTCATATGATGTCGATCTTGAAATTGAAAATCAAATGAGGTGGCGTTAATATAGGAACTTAGATATTACACTTGATTATTTACCTCAGGTGGATTTGAACCGTAAATTTAATTAAATAACTACCCAATAAACACACATATTAATAGACATGATTGTATATAATTATATATAAATTTACGGTTTAAATCCACCTAGAGTTAAATTTAACATCTATTTTCTCGGGTTAATATGGCCGGACAAATAACAACAATCTTAAATAATTAGTTAGTCAATGAAAGTTAGCATAGTTTAATTAAATATAATTCAAATTAATTCAAAAAATGGTTTGACCTGTCAGAACTCAGAACAATAATTCAGTGTTCCAGTTAAATGGTTGGTCAGAATTAGAAGTTCCATCTCTAGTTTGGAACATTGCGTAGCAACACATGTGACATAAAAAAACATTTTTCTTACTGTAATTTTTAAATAAAATTCTGGAAAAGAAAAATTATAAACTCATGACTGGATTAAGTAAAATTGATTGGCTGGGACAATTAAGTGAGTTTTTACCAATGTTGTAAACAGCGGGAATCAGATTCGAGTCGGTTAGGTACCGCCTCACAGGCAAAAACCGATTTTTCAAATATTTACACTAAAATTATAAAAGTTTTAGGTCGCCTCTGCTTTGGAGACCGATTAATCGACCGTCTCGGCCGATTTTTTTAATATTGGTTTTTACACACTTTGTCTATTGTATAAAATTCAGGTAAATTATGTATATATAGTTACAGACAGAACCTCTAGGTTTAAGAAAATAATACAAATGATCCTTAAGGTTTGATTCCTTCTAACATTAACCTTTTCTGCGCTGACCGTTGACTTATATGAAGTTCTACTTTATAACAAACCTCTTCTGTGTTGAAAAGTGTTGGAAAAACCTAGCTTGAATACTAATTTTTTTAAAGTTTAATTCTATTAAGTAGAATTCTTAATCTCAATAAAATATTTTTGAACTTAATTAATGGTGAAGTTGTTGACTGTCCGGATCTACTCGCTGTATTCTATAATATATGTCTTTTTGGAGAATTTTTCTTGTCCCGAATTATTGTCACTTTATATTTTCAATAAAACATTAATTGCATTTTTTTCAATTTTATCATATCGCTCTTAATTAGTTAGTTGATAAATAATTAATTAGAAGAGTAAATTAGTGATTTCTTATATTTTTTGTTACAGTTTATGTATATTTATTGATTTTTTAATATATCACAACTACCAAAATCGTCATATAATATGAGACGGATAAGTATATAACAATAGTGGTATTTATAGTTAGATATCATTGGAGCATTCTGATTGGCATTACCCGAAAATCTTTGTTTTTTTAACATCGTAATAATAAAACAAAGAAAAAGAAAAAAAAAACAATTATTTTTTGCTTATATTATAAATTTATGAAAAATCAACAATCAAATATGATTGTGTTATGTCGAAATTAAACTTCAACGGGTTTGTGGTAATTTTTTGAACTTTAGGAGTATCGATATAGCTAATCGTGTTTGATTGGGAAGGCAATAAAGTTTATGTACACTAAAAATATATATTTTACTACGCATAAAAATGGATAAATTTTCAGAAACACTTTGACGGATCTAGATCTTCTCTACTAAAACATGTTGGAGATTTACAGAAGTTTCCGGAAAATGTACTTTTTCTCTAAGCCAAAACGTCACTGAAAATCGCTAAAAAACTTTGCAATGCTGGTGACTCCTACGATGTTCCATCATTTCGCTCTATTAAAAACTCTGCTTAGTATAAATTGAAATGTATGCAATGAAGCGTAAGATGAAACGACATGATTCACAAGGCTTTTATCTAATGACCTAATATTTCAAGGAACTTCTAGCAAGAAAAAAATGATTTCAGTATCCTTATCGGTATTTATGTTAAGCGATTATGACCTATTAGCAACTTTCTCTATAAAATATAGGGCAAATTACAACCACCCTTCATTAGGACCTATGATCAATTCAAATCTTTTTATTTTTGATCAAAATATAAAGATTCACATTAAAAAAGGTAAAATGAAACAACAACTCAACTATTTATATTAGCAAAATTACTCTATAAAATATATGGTAAATTATAACCACCCCTAATTAGCACCTCTGATCATTTCATATCTTTTTATTTTTGACCAAAATATAAAGATTCACATTAAAAAAAGTAAAATAAAACAACTCAACTATTTAAAGAAATTTTTATAATATCATTAAGATGCTAAATAAGCACGTTCGATTATATACGGATCAACGATTAATAATTACGCGGTGTATTTCACCAGGTGTACTTGGAATAAACCGATTTTAAAACAACTCTGGTAATTACTAATTCTAGGCATTACGTTCTTGTATAGATGCTTGCGTCTCCCCCAATTTTTTTCCCGCGTAGAACAAATTTTCTTCCTAAAATTCACATTTTCACACGCAGTAAAAACTGCAATACATCCCCCATTAATGCACAAAACACATCAATCACCCCCACCAAAATCCCCATTAAAATATCCACATTCCCATTGCACAAATTTTCTTTTTACTACACTCAGAAATAAGAACTTTATTATAATTTTCATCCATTTTTTTAGAAAAGAAAAACAAATATTAAAAATATAATGCCGCCGGAAAAGAATCCCACAGATTCACCCACATCGCCGATTCTGTCAAACAATCCTCAACATTTTAACAAATCGAGGTTTATCTTCATTTCAATGGCGGTTTTTCTCTCCCTCGCCATTCTCTCCTTAATCCTCTTCATAACCATCTCCTCCTCCGCCGTCCGCCACCCCAGCGCCGCCGCATCCGGCGGCGCCGGTGCCGCAGTGCATTCGAACCAAGAAATCATCGGCCTCGCCTGCAGGGCGTCACGTGACCCTACCACGTGCCAAGCCTCCTTAACCCAGTCGAATCGCGTGCCACCAGACGCCACCGTTTTGCAGGTGATCGAATCCGCCGTGTGGGTGGCGTCGCAGAACCTTAAAACCGGTCGGAAGATGGTGCAGGATATCCTGGACTCGTCCGCAGGGGATAAGAACCGGTCGGTGGCCGCGAAAACCGGGCTGGAGGTGCTGACGTACGCCGAGTACCGGTTGAATCTGGTGGACGGCGCGCTTACACGTGGCGGGT